TTGGTTGAAGTTAGACATTAACACCGTTGGATGCCGGCTCAGTGGTCTAATGGTTAAGTGCTCGCGCGCGAAGCCAGTAGGTCCTGGGTTCGAGCCCCGCGTGAAGCGGGATCGTGGATGCGCACTGCTGAGGAGTCCCATACCAGGACGAAACGGCCGTCCAGTGCTTCCAGGTTTTCAATGGTGGTCTAGCTTCAACTGACTCATGATTTCAGCCCGTGAAATTTCTTAAACTCTCCATAAAACCCATTCTGAAATTGACAACTTTGATAGTGTAATAAGAAGACAAAGATTATCAGAACTATGTGATATATTAGCGCAATACATTTCGAACAATCTGGTCACACATATACTTGTCAAGAAAATTTATATATAGTTTTTTTTTATATCGATGGGTCGCTATGGGTACTCCGTTAGGACCATTATTAGCAAATGTGTTCATAGCATATGTTGAAAATCTGACTGAAGACCTAATTGAAAATATATCACTTTATAGGAGATATGTGGACGATACCTTAGTTATCTGTGAGAGAAAGGACTATATGAATTGTTTATTGAATAAACTTAACACTTTAGAACTACATCAGTCTCTCATACTAAGAGGAGAAAAACGACCAGCTTCCCTTCCTAGATATACTTCTAAGTAGACGAGAAGATGGCTCAATTTAGCGATCCTTTTTAGAAAACCAACGTGGACAGGTCAATATGGTGGAGAAGATTTGTAGCTCAGGTGGATGATTTTGGTGGAGTTTTGTTCTCTGAGCTGGATGGTTTGGTCGTGGAGCTTTCATCGTTCTTCTGAACGACATCATCAGCATGTGCTGATGATGTCGTTCAGAAGAACGATGAAAGCTCCACGACCAAACCATCCAGCTCAGAGAACAAAACTCCACCAAAAACAGGTCAATATCCTAGTTATTACAGTTATTGCCTCGTGCAATACAAACGGGGTTTGATAAGGTGCCTATTCAACAGGCTTGATCGTATTTGTACAAATGACGCCATTGATGATAATGTTAGGTCGCTAGATAAAACATTAGTAGAAAATGGCTGTACTCTGAAATTCATAAATAGATGGAAAGTTCATGGTACAGTGAGACCTAATGTAGCTTTCACAGAAAAAAAGCCTGTATGCATCACTCTGTGCTGAAAATTCTATATTGTACCAAAATATAATATTGAATAAAGCCATTAATAATAATAATAATAATAATAATAATAATAATAATAATAATAATAATAATAGAGGTCATTAACAAGACATATTGTGCAGCAAAGGTCAAGGAAAGAACAATGTCATTCTTCATCGAAAACCTAAAAGACATGAAAACGATTGTGTCACATCTCACTGTGTTACCAATGTAAATGTGTGTGTGTGTGGCTAGACATACATAGGGAAGAGTAATCGTGTGTGAACATGTACCTAAATTGCTGCAGAAACAGATAAAATCAAATGACCCAATAAGAGTAGTGCATAAACATCCATCAACCACTAATGCCATACACATAGTTCAGAAGGTCATAAGATTGATCTTAACAAAAATGTAAAAGTGCATATACTAAAGTTTATTGAAGGCTTAGCTATAAGAAAATTCAAACCCCCCTTGTGTATTTATGAATGCTATTTCAATGTCTATTTCCCATTACATAATATTACTTCAAGCCTTTATCACAACTAGTAAACATGTCATCACACAACCAATTGGTACTTTTCAAATATCATGTTTAGTTATGTAATCAATCATTGACACATATCCTGCCTTGATTGGTTTAATAATTTCGTATATGCATATGAATATTACTGTATATTAGAGCTAATCCGTGTCGGGTAGAAACAGGTGTCTACCTCAATACAATGGAAGATGATCGCGTAATTTCGTGGATTGGTTGAGGTCAGACATTAACACCATTGGATGTCGGCTCAGTGGTCTAGTTGGTTAAGCGCCTGGCACGAGACTGATAGGTCCTGGGTTCGAATCTCGCGGGGAGCGGGATCAAGGAAGCACACTGTGGATAAAATGCATAGTAGAAGAAATTCGTCTCGTTAATCGAGGTGGTAATAATAACATGTAAATGTAATATGTAATAAGAGAAGTGATATCAAGGGAATTACGATAAGAAAATGAATGTGTAGATTAAGAAAGGTATAAATACAAAAGGAATTGGTAGGGAAATAAGAGGTTTATAACATCCAGTTTAGGTATCTGGTGTTCCAGTCGTGGACAAGGTAAGCATAGAGTTTGAATTTACCTCTTCTGGATATATACGTTCGGTCTTCTGGATGTGATCCAGAGGGCTTCAGCTATGTAGAGTATCCATAATCTAATTCCTTTAGGTAGATCGTTTGGAGCTTGATATAAAACAGTAAAAACTTTGTCTGTTTTAATGTGATGTTCACTATCTACCAAGTGGGAATATATAACTCTGTTAATCGATTTGGTCACTTCTTTTCCCAACTATGCTGGTGAGTGTTCACGAGCACTCAGGAATAAAGCCCCATGAGTACAGCCTATGTAATTAGTTCGAGCCAACGTGTCAAAATGTCACCCATGATGTCTTTTTTAAAATCTATTTTTAGATAGATGTCTTTCTTACTGACCGTTTCAGTTTTTTTACCTTTCAATAGAAATTTTCTGAGGAAATTATCTGGATATTCATTATTTCGTAATATGTTCTTCAGTTTATCTACTTCGCTATCTATACTATCTTCAGTACATAGTAGTTTGGTTTTGTGGCTGAGGCATTTAACCAAATTTATTTTGTATTGAAGGAGTCTAAAGCTATGAAAATGGGTATACATTTCTTTTTATGGAACAGCCTATCCTTCTAGAGAGTAGGACACCGATGAAAACTATACTAATATCGTTCTTCTCTTCACTGATGAATTTGATATTTGAGTGGAAGTTATCCAAACTGTTCAACAGCTCTTGTTTGTCAATACTTTTGTCACATACGATTGGGGTGTCATCTATTTATCAGCAGTAATAATGCCTTAGCCAATTGATGTTCGATCTTTTCATGGATGTTTTTACATAACTCAAGATTTTGGAATTTAGTTTGATCACTCAGCACGGTATTCATCTTATCTATGTAATCTATCTTGTTTGGAATTGAAGTTTCGGATACTTTATATAGATTCATTCAAAAAATGCCTAACAGCTGACGTGATGTCAAATAAAGGATAACTCTAAGGTGAACGGTACTGGTTTTGAATATTTCCGTTCTTGCCTATCTATAATGAACGGATATAAAAGTGTTTTTGAACACAGAATTACAGAATATCTTAGTAAATCTGAGAACCATACATTGAGTACTTGATTTGCAAAATGTCAATTGATTGTCTCAAACTTCACTGTTCCTTCATTTCTATACCAATTGCTTTCATTTCACATTCTTTCCTATTCGATCTTCTCGACCTTCTGCTGCCAGACATTCTATTCCTGACTAACGTCATATACTATTTTATGTCGATATAAGTAGCACACACCACACTCGTCCCCATTTTAATGAATGACGAATACAAACTAATTCTTGTATCTTATTCATGATGAATAAAGAAAATCTCGGTGTCCAATGGACTAGTCAAAGTCTTTTGTGATAGATGACGAATTATAAATAGTAAATATTAGAGAAAATGTTTTAAGTCAATATATTTTTGACTTTATACAATTTGAATATATTATCAGAAGGGGTTTTGTGGAGATTGATAAGTCCTGGGTTTGAATCTCGAGGGGTGCGGGATCGTGGATGCGCATTGATGAGGAGTCCCATGCTAGGACGAAACGGTCATCCAGTGCTTCCAGGTTTTCCATGGTGGTCTAGCTTCAATTGACTCATGATTTCAATCAGTGAAATTTGAATATATTTTGATGAAAATTCACTACATAATTGATGTTGAAGATTGTTGTTGTAACAGTTTTATTACTGAATAAAGTAGTAATTTGTATTATTACCAAAATGAAATTCTGTTTATCATTTAAATCAATTAAATAAAAGTACATCATTACTTATAACAAAAATGATACTTATAATAATCTAGTTGTCGCTCACTAACATGAGATTGTTTTTTAATTATTGATATTGTAACCGACGCGTAGCTTGATAGATGGATAGATATATGGATGGATAGATAGATAGATATCAGTATATGATTGTAGAGAATGTTAAGTTATTGATTGAGATCTTGAAACGATTGATGTTAAACTATCATTGAAGACCTGGAAGCAATGGACGACCGTTTCGTCCCATTGTGGGGCTCCTTAGCGGTGCGCATCCGCGATCCCACCTCAAGAGATTCGAATTCAGTGCCTTCAGTCTTGCGCGCGAACACTTAACCTACTAGACCACTGAGTCAACATATCTAACCTTAACCAATCCACGAAACTGCGCGACCATCTTCCATTGTACTGAGGTAGATACCTGTCTCTACCCGACACGGATTAGCTCCACTGGTCACGGCTTCTCACTAGAACTCCAAGAATTCACTCACGAAGCTAGTCACTATTGATCACATGGTAATTATCAGTGTTGAGATTTTGAACCGATTGATGTTAGACCACCATTTGAAACCTGGAAGGCCACGAGACTGAATCCCGCCAGCTTGGTCGTGGGTATGCACCGCTGAGTAGTCCCACAATAGGACGAAATGGCCGTCCAGAGCTTTCAGGTTTTCAATGGTGGCCTAACATCAATCGGTCCGAAATTTCAATCCATAAGGTAGATAGATAGATAACATTGGATTATATTGATCAGATACTATTATCACATTTGTGCTTTTAGCCACAAATAAATACTCAGTCATTTTGTTTTTACTCTAGAATTGTCTTTAGACAAATTTAAGCATAATTATTGATGAATAATGGTTAATAATGAATGTGTACAGATATGTCTGTCCGATAGTTACCATACTTTATATACCCTTCTGAATGATTGGTTGCTAGTTGAAATCATTATATACACTGTCAATTTTATTGACTTATAAGTGGTACATTAAACTGATTCAAATTAAAAGATTCAGTTTGATCATCATCTTGTTATTTTATACATTGGATAATATATATATGTATATGAATAAATAATGAAAAAAACTACACTTTGGTTTAATGATTGGTTGGATCGACAAATATTTCTTATTTGGACATTAGAATGGATGATAGCTACTATAACATTATATATCATTGTAAGTTTATTATCAAATTTCAATTCATTGAATAGATCCAATTTGGTTATCTTATATCACTGATCAATTTTAGAAAATGAAAAACTAAGTCATTGTAAACCTATAGGGCTTCTAGGTTTTCCCCGATGGTCTAGCTTTAATTGACTCATGATCTCAATCATTGAAATTACTACAATAGCCCCTCTGGTATGAAACAACATATGCTCACTAGTGACTGGCTTCAAGAGGTATTTCTTGGAGTTTTAATGAGATGCAGTCACCAGTGAAGTTCAACCGGGTCTGTTGTGAGATAGTAACCCACTGAAGACAATGGTGGATATGTCACTCAATTTCGTGGATTAATTGAAGTTAGACATTAACACCGTTGGGTGCCGGGCAGCTCAGTGGTCTAGTAGTTAGGCAGTCGTACACGAGACTGATAGTTTCGAAATCGTGTTTAGTAATCATCATCTAGTCAATGAACTAGCGATCAGTAAACATAAGTAACTATAAATGTTCAATATTTCCCTCAACACATGTTTATGATCACTGTGATCTTGAATCATCCAACACTGGGATCTACTTAAACATGGTTGATTTTTTCCACAGTTTATCTGTACATGAGCTCCTAACATTTCTAAAACTTCCTGAACGATTTTATCCATCATCTAAGCATCATAATATGAGTACAATCCATGTGAATTTGAGTAATTATTCATCATTAGTGATTGACAATATAATATTGAAAACAACTTAGAAATCAAATACAATTGTGTAAATACATTCATCTCTTATGCTTCTGTCTTCACCTATTTAATGCCATTGTTCTGAGTTATTTCCAATTATTTTTTAAAATGTCATTGACATTAGTATTGTAATGAGCGAGAACACAAGTGGTTACAATCGATTGCATTTGAGTATAAAATTACAGAATCTCTAAGTAAAATCTGAGTACCATACAGTAAATACTTCATTCGCAGAATGTCGGTCAATCTGTTATAACTTATAGGTTTGTGCCCCTATCAATATTATAACGTAATGATATCGAAAATTAGAGTACAGTTATTTATCGACCGGACCAATAACGCATAAAACCTGTACGAGCAGCCTAGAGTCCTTATCGGTCCAGCTTCCTGCTAAGTTCTAAACACCAATCTCAGCCTCCGCGATGTGAATCATGTATTTCAAACATATTGGGTTTATATACAAACCAAACAGACCACATCGTACCATAAAATGGAAAATAACATTTGCACAAGATTTAGCCAAAAGTGGCTGTGAATGTGGGAGACTGCAATTGATAGACTGGGCATAACTCAAGAATGATAAATCGTATCGTAATAATTCAAAGGTCAACATAAGGCTTATGATAAGAGGAACACGAATATAAGTAGGTTGGTTACTTAACAATTATACGATGACAATATACGTATAGTATTAATCCAGAAATAGATTCCAGCAATTACCATTCATTATTCTCGTCGGGATACAACACAATCGTCCTAGACTTCATTGTTCTTTCGTTCCCACACTAATCATTCTCTGTTCTCTTTCTTTTTCTTTGATCTTTTTAATGATCTTCTGCCAAACATTCTACTTCCGGTCGATGACACATACTACTTATATCTATCGACATCAGTAGCACACACCATATACTACTACTTTAACATATTTTCTAGATATTTTCTTAATTTCTTTTTTTTTTGTAGTCCTAATATAAAAGCATAGACTATACCTGATATTATTTTAGGTCGGATTCCAAGTTATATATTAATAAAACTGATTTAATGAATGTTAAATTATGTATACTCATTATTAAATAATGCCTGTTCAATCTGACTATGAAAAGATTTACAACCAAGCTTGAATACAATTCAGATATAGGTAGGCCGAAATGTTATAGTCATATTTTATCAATGCAATCACTGAAAAATACACTATGTTGTATCCATTTTTGAATATTAAGTGAAGAAAATGTGTAGCTCTGGTGAATGATTTTGATGGTGTTTGTGATGGATTACTGTCACATAGCCAACACAGATTAAGCCTCGTTGGTTACGGTCTATTACTAGATCTCCAGGAGTTACATCTTGAAACTATTCATTAGTGAACATGTGATTAACATTAGTATAAGGGACTTGTAGAGATCGTAGAATTTTCACAGCTTAAATGTTAAAACTACACCATACTAATGACTTTGAGTGACTAATCAAAATAAATTTAGCTGATGTTAACTATTAGTGCGAATTTCAAAGGCTGTTGATGATAGTCTGTTGCAGGGAATGATGGTTTTGTTTCGTAATTTGGAAGAATTCGAGAATGATATTTTTGTGGAATAAACTGTTAAAGTCAATGTTTTAGGGTTAAGAGCTAACGCATAGAAGTATAAGAGTAAGGAACTACAGTGTCGGAGTTCTAATGTTAGGAGTAGGGGATAGGATTTAAGGTTTATTGAAATTACAGTAGTTTGATGTTTAAACTTAGTTGTCGATAATCAAACATAATAAATTTATGGATTGTGTTAAAACTCTTAATCCACTCTAATTTTATTATTCTCCTATACTTTGGCGCTCTTTCATAAAAAATAGATGCTTCATTGAGGGCTTTATGAACGGGAAGTATTATTTCAGCGCAATTTGCATTTCTCAAACATTTAATGTGCTTAAACTCAACAAACGTACAATTTTCTATTCAAAGAATTTATCCTGAACTTCATGTTATTGTAAGGTCAGGGAAATATCACTGTGCCTCACTTAAATCAACTACGCCTGAAGCCCCTCTAGGGCTACTGCCGGTTCTAAGCCTGGATAAAGGAGGAAGGTTGGGCATGGGACTAGCAACTCCATCCCATAGAAAACTAACTTGCTAGAAAAACACTAACCAGAAAACATAATTCAAACTCACTTAAATCAGCCATCAAGTTGAAAATATTCTATCTTGTACAACTGAGCAATGAACATTGATTTACTATGACTAGATGTGGAATCCTGATAAGGATAAACTCCTGTTCTATCTGCAAGTACTCAAATGGCTATGATTGAGTGATCTCAACTTCACCTTCAAAATCGTTTAATGTAGTTGGCATAGAATAGCTTCACCTTTCAAAATCAAGTTAGAGAAATTTCCTTTTATTTTCTGAATACTTTTTCTTCATAGCCGGTTTCTTAGCAGCAATTCATTTTTTGAATTACATAATGTTTTTTCTCTATTAAGATAATGGCAACTCGAGATATAATTGGACCAATTGCTTTATTATTTGAATCATTAGAGAATTTATTTCGTGGTATTGTTAAAGCTGTAGATGAACAATATACAAAATCAAATGTTGATTTTACTGGTGAACAACCTCAATTTTTATTTCGATTACTTCGAGGTAAATTCTTGATTGTTATTTTTAAATTGTTCTGATATATGAATATACGATGTAGTGGATATGTCGTGTAATTTTGTGGATTGGTTGAGGTTAGATAATAACACCGTTGAATGCTGGCCGGCTCAGTGGTCTAGTGGTTAAGCGCTTGAGCGCGAGATCGATAGGTTCTGGGTTCAAATCTCGCGAGGCAGGATTGTGGATGCGCACTGGTGAGAAGTCCCGTGATAGGACGAAACGGCCATCCATTGGATTCAGGCTTTCCATGATGGCCTAATAAACTGAAAAATGATTTATCATATTGAAGAGATTTTTAAATAAATATGAATACTAGGAATAACTTTCTAGAAATAGATCTAATTAAGATTGATTTTATTCTGTGAAATCCTACATAAGTTTATGTCATTTTAACTCTACCTCAGGTGAATTATAAGATAAGGGTACATCATTCACATCGATTATTATTGATTTCACATATTAGGTGAGTGAAGGGAGTCGGTAGAAAGCTTTGAAATTAGGTTGCTTAGTAGTTGACATTCGTGTTACTGATGTTCGTATCGCGACCTTCATAGCACAGTGGTAGTCTTCAAATATAACACCAAGTTAGATGAGTTCAAATCTAAGAGGTAAAATTAGTTCCCTTAAGATTTCAAGTACGCTTTTTTGATCAGTGTCTACTACTATGCAGTACAGACTTACAGTTTATCCCCTTCACCCATATACCATCGAACAATTGCATCGTCAAGTTAAATCCCTTAGTTTAGTCACTATAATGCAACTTGTTCGATTACATTTTTACTCATACTGTAGTGAACAACAATACAAGTGGGGACAATCAAACGTATTTGAACACAAAACTATAGAATCTCTTAGTAAAATCTGAGAACCATATAGTAAATACTTCATTTGTAAAATGTCAATCAATCGTCTCAGGCTTCATTGTTTATTTTTTTCGTTTCCACACCAATGATTCTTAGTTCTCATTCTCTTAACCTCCTCCTACCAAACATTTTACTTTCGATTGATGATACATACTACTCATATTTGTCAACATCAGTAGTACACACTACAATACTATGAATTATACAATACCATAATGTTTACTGCTATTGTATGATAAATTTATCAATTTTACTAAATAAATATACATAAATTCCAGAAAACTATTCCATTTTTAATCCATGAAAGTTAATTCAAGTTCATATTTATTGATTTAGTAGCAATATTTTCTTAGAGAAAATTAATCAGACTAATTATGACCTAATTAATATAGATGGTAATTAATGTGCTTAGAGTTTCAAGAATGTATCTAATCAATAATAATAATGTTCATCATCAAAATAATTCATTTTCTTGATGTTACGATTATTTTATGGGTTAATAAGATCGAATTATAAGACAGGATAATCGTTATATTGGTTTAATCTGAGTGTTGATTAATTCGTTTAGACCTTCTATCTAATATCAATGGTTTTCTACTGATCAGTGATACGATAATAAGAAGATAATACCTTAGAATAAAACATAGCGATCAGTGCTAATTTGACAGTCAGAATAAATCACAACACAGATTGTAACTAGATTCTAATTATATTGTTCAGATTTGTAAATCACTCATTTGATAATTGTTAAGTTCGTTACTTGGTTAACACAGAATACGATATACAACTACGGTACTCGAACGTATAAAACACCCACAGTTGCAAATCAGAGGACAGAAGAAGACTGGAGAAGTGTTTGTTAGGTAAGAATAAAAATGTACGGAGAATCATGGGTATTTATGGATACCAGCGTTTGTTATATCAATATTATAATTCAGTCAATCTGAAAAGAGACATGTCATAGTAGCATGCCATGTTGATATTCTAGAAAGCTTCATCACATTCTTATTAGATGGAAACTCTTCGGCCTTTAATATATTAACAAATAACATCATATAGAACTGTTCTGAACGTTCAACTTTGCTTGATATTTATCTTGACATAGCAGATTTTTTTAAAAAGATAAGTATAAATATACTAATCAACATATGCTCACTAGTGACTGGCTTCAGGAGGTATTTCCTGGAGTTCTAGTGAGAAGCGGTCACCAGTGGAGATCAACCGGGTCAGTTGTGAGATAGTAGCTCACTGATGACAATAGTGGATGTGCCGCTCGATTTCGTGGATTGGTTGAAGTTAGACATTAACACTGTTGGATGTCGGCCAGCTCATTGGTCTAGTTAGTTAAGCGCCTGGCGCTAGACAGATAGGTCCCAGGTCCAACTCCCGCGAGGCGGGGTCGTGGATGCGCATTGTTGAGGAGTCCCACAATAGGACGAAACAGCCGTCTAGTGCTTCCAGGTTTTCCACGGTGGTCTAGCTTTAATTGACTCATGATCTCAACTGTTGAAATAAATATAATACATCAAATATTAATATGCTTGTAGTTTATTACAATATGAGGATATAAAGTTATGTAATACCATTAACGGTGAAATCTTCATTATAGATATGTTATTGCAAATAAACATACAAGAATCATCTTTGGTACAAATCTAATAAAGCATTTGATATAATTCCTTTATAAAAGTCATGTTAATGAAATCTATTTATTTATTTATTTGAATATAATTCAATAGGACCATTACCGACTATCATTTTTATACATTTAACAATAATCTTGATGAATGCAATTTGTATTCTATTTGGATTACTTTTTCGTGCAGAATATTTTGTGAAATGTGTAAGTTAATTTAATTTCTCATATTAGTAGTAATATGAAGTTATTTTAACAAAAATAATTTATAATTAAGATGGTGTGGTGTGTGCTACTTATTTCGACATAAGTAATAGATAATGTTAGTCGTAAACAGAAGGTCTGGCAGCAGAGAGACAAGAGGATCGAACAGTAAAGAATGAAAACAAGATGAAATTTGTATGAAAATGCAAGATCATTGAAGTCTGAGTTATTTTGAGACAACTAGTGGACATTTTGCAAATTCAGATTTTATTAACAAGTCCTGTAATTTTGTGTCAAATACGTCCGATTGTCCCCACTGGTGTTCTTGTTTACTACAATGGTTATGTATGATTATGGTCTAATTGTAAAGTTCACTCATTCTGAAGAGTATTATTATTCCATACTTTACAGGAATTAGAAATTAATGAAGACAATGAAAAATGATCGCACGATATCGTGGATTGATTGAAGTTAGACATTAACACAATTGGATGTGATTTAGATATTCACGCGAAACTGAATTACCTCTGGTTAGGTTTCCGTGTGCAGGGTCGTGAATGAGTACTGCTGTGAAGTCATTTACTAAGACAAAACGACTGCCTAATATTTTCAAGTTCTAATGATGGTCTAACATTGATCGGTTCATGATCTCAACACAACATAACCAATTGATTTTCAATATATAAAGTCTCACAGGTGACTAGGATCAAAAAGAATTTCTTTCAAGTTCTAAAAGACAACTATAATTTATGAATTCAGCCTAGTTGGAAGCAAGATAGTAATTCAACAACTGAATTAAATGAGAGTCTGATTATTGAGATGGTGGAGAAGATTTATAGCTCAGGTGGATGATTTTGGTGGAGTTTTGTTCTCTGAGCTGGATGGTTTGGTCGTCGAGCTTTCATCGTTCTTTTGAACGACATCATCAGCACAAACTTCTATCTGAAGTTTGTGCTCCACGACCAAACCATTCAGCTCAGAGAACAAAACTCCTCCAGAGTCTGATTATTATTTCTAAACTTTCATGAAATTGGAAATATAGACCGGTATATATTATTGCACTTGTCAAAATGACAAAATACCTTTATTTTTATCAGGATCCATTTTCATAAGCTTTATGTTTGATTGTATATCCTGTTTTCATTATGTAATATTAACCTGAGTTATATAAAGTTTATCTATAACACATAGTTGTGAATAACTCTACACATTAGTTTTCTTAATATTCTTAACAAGCTATTCTTTTAGTCAACTATGATTTGATCTAAAACTTTAAAAATAACTTGTTATCAACATTAAAAAAAGTGAAAGTAATGATCATTTATACAAATTGAAGTGATCTGTTATAGTATAAGCATAAATTAATGTTACCAGAATGGGTTTTGTGGAGATTTTTTTAGAAATTTCACTGGTTGAAATCATGAGTCAATTGAAGCTAGACCACCGTGGAAAACCTGGAAGCACTAGACGGCCGTTTCGTCCTAGCATGGGACTCTTTATCAGTGCGCATCCACGATCCCACCTCTCGATATTTGAACCCAGGACCTATGAGTCTCGCGTCAGGCGCTTAACCAACTAGACCAATGAGCTAGACGGCATCCAACGGTGTTAATGTCTAACTTCAACCAATCTAAGAAGTTGCGCCACCGTACACATTTGTCTTCAGTGAGTTACTATCTCACAAAACCCATTCTGATAATAATAATCACCTGCTTACTAGTGACTGACTTCAGGAGATACTCCTGGAGTTTTAGTGAGAAGTCGTTATAAATTAATGTCCTATTCCTTAAAATTAAATCCATAAACTACACATTTGGATTAAACAGTTTCATGAAAGTTAATAATTCAACATGATTTCTAGGACTCAGTAGGTGTTTTAGGAACTATAAACTATAATATTGATTACTGATTGATAAACATTTGATCTGATGGAAAGAAAAGCCAATTTTCGATTGAATTACTCATTATGAGTTTTATTCAACATTACTTCCCTTCTAATTCAATGTGATGATCATTCAGTGTAGTCTTCGTTTTTGTTTCCCCGTATGATATTTTATTCCGTATAACATACGATATTCTTGTATTCACTTGACATGAACTATGCTCAGTTTGTGATTTGTGATAACTCTAAGTATTAATCAACGTGTGTGTACAATCAACATATAAGTGAGTGTATTTTCGAATATGGTTGTCGTCGACATTGTCTGGAATAACATTCTTTTGACTAGTATTCTGTCTTTTCATTGCGACTTGGAAGGATTTTAGCGTGCTAGTGCTCAAGTTATACACGGTATATCAAGAATATAAGGATCTAGATATAACAACTGGCGACGGGGTTAACTTATCAAGATGTCATTTATCTTTGACCAGTTTGAAGCCTTGCTGGAGCGACAAGAAAAACGCTTCAAACAGTTCCAGATTCATGTTATAGAGACTTTAATCCAGTAAATGAACCTAAATTGCAAGGGGCTTACAGATGATCCTTTCAAGTCTCATGTTGACCACATTATTAATTCTATCCATGAATTTCATTTTGATGGTTTGGCTGGTGTCACATTCGAATCATGGTTCAAGAAACACGAAGATTCAAGGTTGACCTAGAGAAATTTGATGATGCCTCAAAGGTCAGAGTATTACTAGGCAAACTTGGCACAGATGAAGACGAGCGCTAAACCAATTTCATTCTCTCTAAGTATCCAAGAGACCTTTCATTTGATGCAACAGTCGTAACTTTGTCACAAATTTTTGAACAGTCATCGTTGTTCAATATTTTTCACCAATGTCTGAAGTTGGCTAAAGCGGGAGACGATGACTGGGTACAACATGCTGGTATAGTAAATTGCGAGTGTGAGCGGTTCAAATTATCAGCAATGACAGATCAGTTCAAGTGTCTTGTTTCTGTATGCAGCTTTCAGTCAACTGAAGATGCCGACATCAGAACCAGAATTCTGAGTGAAATTGAACAATGTCCAAATATAACACTATGAGAAGTGACTAGTGAGTGTCAGATGTTGATGAATTTATAACATGACAATTCTATGGTTGAAAACAGTGGCCGGCCACCATACGTGCAGGTAATTAATCGCCAGAAAGATTCTCTTGTACGTAAGAGAGACAGTTCAAACAATCAGGCTTCATCCTCGTGCTGGTTATGCGGAAAGTGGCATTACAAGAAGTCTTGCCCTTTGTACCAAATGTCAGCGGAAAGAAGATGTACCATCTTCCATCACGATTTCATTCCAGAATACATAAACCCCATGCACCAGCCAGCCAAATAATGGTAGCTCATACATGATCAGGACATAGTTGACGGAAATATGTAACTATCAAGGTTGATGGTTACCGTACCCGCCTACAGCTCGACACTGCTTCCGATATCACACTTATTAGCCGAAGAACCTGAAAGTTTATTAGAAAACCCCAGGTGTTTTATTAGAAAACCGTAATTAAGTGAACCAAATACGAGAATAGAGTATGAATACCTATATTTCGTACACTCTTTGATCTAGACAGACAATCAAGGAAACGAAGAGAAGGAATCGAAGACGTAAGAGTGGAACAAAACGAAATGATGCACAATAAAAAAAGGCGAGTGAGCCAACTCAATTTAATCAAATGTGACTCAATATTTATATTCAGACAAAAAATAAATTACAGACACTGAATGAATGGAGCAAGTGATTAACACATATACGATCAGATCATCAACAAGATCAAAAGGTGACTTAAGAAGAATAAATAGATTAATTTATCCAATGGTTAGAATAGATCTATATGAACTTAACATAGTACCAAGCATTATAAAAGATAAATACAATTCATAAATTCATTTTTTTTTACTTGTTTACTTTCTATGTTTGTTTACAGAATATGTTCATATTAATTTCCCTTTTAATTGCGGATGCGGCTGTATTTTTAACATGGATTTATAAAGATCCTAAAACAGTAAGTTGGTTTTAAGAAAATATCTTGTTATGTAATAGTTTAAAATGTAAACAAAATAAATCCATTCAGATATTAAATAAGAAAGATTAGTTTAGTGAAAAGTTCTATTTTTTTTGGGGGGGGGAATCCATTAACAAAGCTGTACAATCGCAAACATATTTATATATTTCTGCCAAGATGATAATAAACTTCTGGTTGACATGGTGATAGTGAGATAGAATAAACAAAGGTAATAAAAAAAGACATTTTTTTAAACAGGGAAACTAATAAATTCACATGGTGTTGTTTTACTTGAGCATTAACTCAAAGAAGAAACGCCCGTCCTAGATTCCACTGCTAGTCACCATCCATCTTTGCTTAAAAAAAGAAACGCATGATAGTTTGATTGTTAAGGGATTAAATATTCATTATAAAAATAGATAGGGAAATGATCATTGAGAAAGGATGGTTCAGCATGATAAAATCAAATGTTGAAATTGAGAAATGTAATCAGGAGGATTATAGAAAAAGAAATAAATCAGGTGGGGGTAGAATGTTTAAGGAAGAGATATATGAGGAAGAGATGGATGTAAAGGAATAAGAGTATAAAAAGAATTATGAACCATTAAGACTATGGTAGAAGAAGAGGTTGCACCAATTTTTTTTGGACACACACTTCTCATTAGATGGTGGTTTTAGATAGTAGACAGGAAACCCTGGACCCGGGTTTCGTGCTACTTGGCACTCGTCAGCAAGGTGTACCTGTAATCTTGACGGAACCAGTGGTCCCTGACGGATTCAACCCCTTGACACTCAGCCTCACAGTCAGAGACGTTACCACTGAGCTATCCGGGCCGCGACTAATCTCCTGTAGGATTGAGATGTAATCACAGTTGACTGATTACTGGGTGGTGATCAATCTCATATGTGTCAAGTCCTTAGTAATCCAGATCGAATGCTATCGACCATGTTGTGATGTGGCTACCGGTGGCATTCCAGAATTTTCTGGAAACCCAAGGATATCTATTAAACTGTAAAAACCCTATATTTTCTGTACTAAAACGAACCTTTGGGGTAAAGTGCTTCTCGCATATTTCGTACCTTTACTTTTGTGTTCAGGACGCTGTGTAGTTCTAGCTTGGGGGTTACGAGAATAGCTTAGGGATTGAATATAGCGTCTAATTAGTAAGACTTATCAGGGACAAAATCAAAGGTTAGTATTTTACAGACTTCAACGCAGTGTACTCACAACCCTATTAACAGTTGAAACCCAAATCTTCATATCTCCTAGTGAACTATTAACCATTAGGACCATTCATTTAATATTCATTCTTAACTTTAATCCAATTTAAAGCAACAACAACAAAAAAGGAATCCGTAAACCATTCAATGACAATTCAGATACATCTGACTACTTATCATATTGTTCTAAGTAGTATATTATAATCTGAATAATCATAACTACAAAAAATCGGTTCAACTAATCTTTTCTCTTCATTTTACTTTTCTTTCTAGACTGTAGGGATGTTTTTAGATGAATTACAAAGGGTTCAAATTCAATATTTAGGTGCTGAAACAAATAATTTTCCAACATTATTGTTCAATTATGTTCATCAACATGTAAGTTGAATAAAGTAAACAGCAACTGTAAGAAAAAGAAGAAATTCAGTTGTTTATTTAACTAGTATGTGAAGAGAATTCACATTATATAGTGATACAGTTCATCAAATAACAGTCATGTTCATAAGTGTCTAATTCTATTGAACTCGACCGTCACTGCTACCTTAACGCCGTAGTCGGGCTTGCCTATCGTAATGAACCAGTCGAGCTATACTGGCTGGAACATTCGTTCCTCAAGGTCCCATCATGCCAGACAGGTCGGTTGAAGAACGGTAAGACTAAAAGCAACAAACCCAAGGTTCGAAAGCGAAGTCGTACTGCTGACTGTACAGAAGTGTGACGGCAATAATGTCTTTCCTTCAGACAACCAGCATAACAGCGATGCTGCCTTCTCACAAGGAGCGGTGCGGTTAAAAAAGGTCGACCCTAAGAATGCACGCTTCACCTTAAATTGCTTCTATTTAAAACAGTTAATGGACTTTATATGAATTCAAGATTCTGTTTTCGTTCTATTTCGTACTTTTTATCTGGATTTACTTACATCTTAGATTTGATATTCACCGCCGGATTCGAACCCAGTACCTTTATCTTTGAACGACAACGCATTACACACTTAGCTACTGAACCCTATATAGCCACTCACTTATGCAACGTATATAGATTTTATTTCAAATTATAGTAGGTTGGATCATCTTGTTGTTCATATAATATATCTGGATAGTCCTGAATAGGACTAAACGTGTGTCCTGTATACCACAGATAGACAAATTTCATCCATTTTAAACTTATAATGTTAGTTCATCACGTTTCCAAAGTTTGTTTTTTAACAGTCAATTATGTATTTGTCTCAGTATTGGAAATCATCAAGTCAATTTCAACTAGACGATAATATACGTATATAAAACAGGTTGGTTGAAGTTAGACATTAACACCGTTGGATGCCGACCGGCTCAGTGGTCTAGTGATTAAGCGCTAGCGTGCGAGACTGATCGCGAGGCCGGATCGTGGATGCGCACTGATGAGGAGTCCCACAATAAAACGAAACGGTCATCCAGTGCTTTCAGGTTTTCCATGGTGGTCTAGCTTCAATGGACTCATGATCTCAACTATTAAAATTACTATAATATCCACAATAACCCCTTGTACTACTGTTTCTAAATCGTAAGTAGTTGACAAAAATCGATGAAATAAATGAATCCATTTTTAAAGGAAAATTGTAATATTTTTCCATGACCATCTTAGTGACAACTATTGAAGTTTATCAGACGTAAAAGAATAAATAACTATCTTATATTTGATTCTAAGAATTAGTTGCTACCCATTAATCTTATTGTACTGTATTCCTGTATAAAAATCTTGGTTATTATTATTTTCACTGATTAGTTTCATTGTTGCGGTATGAATGACTACACTGAATGGTTAAATTCTACTATAAAATGGAAAAGAATGGTAACTTATGATAATATAACGTATGGTAAGTTCCAAAATTCATGTTATTTTCTAAATAATTCCGATTAAGTTTACATTAGTTATGAGTGTTGGATATCGGTTAATCATAAACATAAATACACTGAAATTGTAACCGTTCATATTAACTTGTCTTGATTGATTCAATGCAAACTAATGATGGTGATGATGATGATGATGATGATGATGATATGATTTATCCAGATCAACCGAAAGAAAATAATCTTTGCATGTTTCGTTTTAGTATTGGGATTGTATTTTTACACTTCTATGAAGTCCTATACTACAACCAAATAAATGTCTGCTGATTCTAAGTTCTCAGTCATCCTCTAAATGAAATTATTCCATTTTTTAGACTATGAAATTGTTTAATAAAATTTATAAAGTTAATAATAATATCATTAATTGAAATCCTGAGTCAAATGAAGCTAGACCACCATGGGAATCCTGAAAGTACTGGATGGCCGTTTCATCTTAGCGTGGGACTCCTCATCAGTGCACATCCATGGTTCCGCCTAGCAGTGTTAATATCTAACTTCAACCAATCCATGAAATTGTGGCACTGTAAACCATCGTCTTCAGTGAGCTGATATCTCACAACTGACCTGGTTGAACTCCACTGGTAACAACTTCAGGAGTGTCTCCTGAAGTCAGTCACTAGTGAGCAGGTGATCATTATCAAAAGAGGTTTTGCGGTTATTAATACAAATTTCACTAGTTCAAATCATGAATCCAGTGCTTCCACGTTGACTTATGATTTCAACTAATGAAATTTCTAAAAATCTCCACAAAACCTTTTCTGATATTAATAATAATAGTCAACAAAAGCTAGTGATTAAAAATAAGTAGTATTGCTAGATCAAACTAATTGACTAATGTAAAATTTATCAAATGATTCATTGAAGTAATCTTTCTTGACAATGTATACAAGATCGACAAACATGAATAAACCAATCAGAATTAAGGTAATGCTTCATTTAATTTTCTAAAATACCTGAAATCTGTTGTTGTTCTTTTCTCCAAGAAATCATCTACCATGTAATCAAACAGTGAATCAAATATGATGCTTTAGCTAAATGAAAAGAAATACTTGAGGAGATTCAAATATAAAGCCAAAGATGCATGTATAATCAAATAATGTTCTTCCAATTTAACTTCTAACCCTAAATATTGTTAACATAATTCAAAAACCCCTTAAAATTTGACCTAAACCATTGTGTATTCTACATCTGATGTCAATTGATAACTGAAACCTTATAGGATTATAATCTTAACTCATAAACTGAAAAAAATTTCCCTTTATTATAACAAAATGATTAATGTGTATGAATTAATTAATCATATGTAAATCATTATTTCATAGCAATTCTATTGTTGTTTACTATTGACTATTTTATAACTAAGCTGTGTTACCTAATTAACTGATAGGTCACTCAAATTTATCCTTAGTCTATCTAAAAATTGTTTAAAGATCACCATAATATTCAAAAAATCAATATTTGAACGAAGAATGTTGTTTTCGACTAATTCTCTTCAGAAGGGGTTTTGTTGAGATTGTAGTAATTTCAATAGTTGAAATCATAAGTTAATTCAAGCTAGACTGTGGTGTGAGCTACTTATATTGATATAAATAGTATATAGCGTGCGATAAAAGAACGTAATATCTGGCAGCAAAAGATGGCGAAGATCAAGAAAGGTAGAGCGAGAACACAATGGAATTTGTAAGAAAATGCATGAACAATGGAATGGGAGACAATGCAATGGGAGACAATGGATTGGTGTTTGCAACAGAAACAGTCTAGTTTGATTTGATGCATGAATATTTTGCAAATTGACGATTTACTATATGGTATTCGGATTTTGTTGAGATAGCCTGTAATTGCTGTCCTATATAAATTCGTTTGTCCCCACCCGTGTTCTTGTTCACTACAAGGCCGCCATGGAAAACCAGGAAGCACTGGTTGGCCGTTTCGTCACTAATGACAATAGTGGGAGTGTCGCTCAATCTTGTGGGTTATATGGAGTTAGACATTAACACCGTTGGATGCCGGTCAGATCAAATATCTAGTGGTTAAGCGTTCGCGTGTGAGACTGATAAGTCCTGGGTCCAAATCTCGCGAGGCGGAACCATGGAAGCGCACTAAGACAAAACGGCCATCCAGTACTTTCAGGTTTTCCATGATGGTATAGCTTCAATTGACTCATGATCTCAACATTTGAAATTCTCTTCAATTCCTACAGTTATATAATCCCAATTAATAATCTGAAAAATGGCCAGGTTAAGGGTAAAGTACATTGTTTCAAGTTAAAGCGTGTGAATTTAGGATTGTCAAATAAAATAGAATAAAATTGTTAATGTTTATATGACTCATACGGAATATTAACTTGAATAAGCTTATATGTTAAGTGAAAATGTCAACTGGTGCAAAGTAAATGAATCATGTATCGAGGAGATTAATAATGATGTTTAGCCAATAATAATAATAGTAGTGGGACTATAATTTATGGACGAACTTCGAGCGACGCTGGAGTAATCTTGAAAATAGACACCTGCTGACAAGGACTAAATGAGGTTTATAAAGAAGTTAGAATTCGCATTTACAATTGATGGTTAAGGTTGAGAATTAGATTTAGAGTTTTCATCACTAACTAACATCAGCTTTAATGCCAAAACTCTATTTAGCCAAATAGACGAGTGAATTTCGTATCAAAATACGAAACCTGTTATCTTATATCTGATTGGTTCGTCCATAAATTATAGTCTTGCCATAATAATAATACAAAAGTTTGTGAATCAGTATAACAGAGACAATTACATTTGACTACGAAAGGTCCTAAAAGTACAATAATCGAATTAGATCATTCAACCGAGAAGATTACTATTGATTAATTAGCGTTGAGATTGGCCAGGGGAGGAGGAGTGGTTGAAGATATTTCTTCCAAACATATAGCTCCAACTTCTTCAAACGGACGGCTACTGTTTCAGGAAGGACTTTAAGTCTGACCAGCTTCGGCAAAAAAAATTACTGACCCTAAAAATTATTTATTTATTTCAACACATAGATATTGGTACAATGAGGCACCAAATACATATGTGTTACTCAAATCCCATTTGACATGTATGAGAGCTGTGATACTACCTGGGTGCCCAAACCGAAACAGGTGGTCTTCTTAGGAGGCCACACCCGGAGCCTCCGACCTGAAGGTCTGATCCAAAATGCAGTGGAGCAACGTAAGGAGATCCAGTCCCATGGTAGCCGGTGACCAACGATTGGATCATACGCCATTTGTTTCTTCAGGATACTGGAGCCCATGTTCACCATTGGTTTGGAATCAGAGTTTTTTAACTCACCTAGGTGGACTCTCCATGTCCACCAACCCGGCTAAAGTGCTAGACATTCGCTTTTCGTTCTCTTAATTTCGTAAACAACACCTCCGCCACGAGAAGGCAGTGGGTAAGACTTCCCTAGCAGAGGCTATATACGCGTGGTCATGTGAGAGCATTTCGAGAGAGAGAAAGGACTCTCCCCATTCCCAGCCGTACCAGGGCATTTGGGGGCTAAAAAATTACTTTTTGTCAAGTACGTATTCATTTAACATTACATAATAGATCCTATTGTAAAATAAAATCAAAATTATGAACCTAATTGTAAATAACATTTATATTATTTTAGAAATTAAAATACCGATTAGTTGTTGTCCAAACCTTACCAATGATCGATTACCGGATTGTGCACGATTAAACTCAAATTATCCACCTTTTATTCAGGTAAGCCTTCTTCAGTGAAAAAACAGTCTCTTTTTCTAATCAATTACTCGTCGTCACTAATTGCGAAACAGAGGTTTGATTGTGAAGTAATGCATCAAAAAAGCTCACTTCATACTTTCTAACGATTACCTTTTCCCTCACTAATATTTTTATGCATTACATAATACTACTTATTACTATTTGAGTAGTTTGTATTATCGTTGATCATAATGTAAAGTTTCATACTCATAGTTCTTTTCATCATCTTGAAGAGCAAGAACAAAGACAGATTTGACCACAATCAATAAAAAAACCAATAGCTGTATATCTCATCTTTAAAGATGGTCATATCACAAACACAATCAGCAGGAGGCCTAACAGTGCATTGGCCAAGAATTACCCTGCATCCAAACTTATAAAGCTAAATAAAACATGTTCAAATGATCTACCCAAAAGTCGACATGCACTACTTTCCTTGTTATTCTTAATTGTATTTATGAATTTAAATGTATATTTCAAAGCAGCTACACTAACCGATTAGGAAAGAGGGGATATCATAGACTTTTTAAATATGTTACAAAAAGTCTTAAAACAAGAGAATAAACTACTTTAAACAGCGCAATTATTAAACATCCCTTATATGCAAGATATCAGGTCCTTGCGATCTTTCAAGATGACTGATAAACAGTCAAACTCCAATCTTATAAAATCCGTCGAAGCCATTGCTATCGGGTGTCAAAAACATGATTTTTATGTTCGAAAAGAAATGGTTATTAATCTTTCATTGTCTTAGTGACAATTATTCTTTGATTGAATTATAAAGGTTTGTTGAACTCTTTCTTTCAAACGGTTACATTACATTGATAATGTTTTCTTTTGACATGAATTCCTTGCTCACAAATGTACCTCTAAAAATGTCTATTGATATTTCATATGACTATATATTTTAAAACAACTTTACACTATAGCAACTAACATGAAATTGAGTTTGTTCACATTTAATTCGGTTAAGTTCATTTGTTATCTTATTTAACGAACTGAGTTATCCATACAATAACAACTTATCTATACCTATCTGTTAATAAACTGTAGTTGTTGCTTTTCTTTGCCTTCTGATTTCAAACACTGTTGAGGTTTATATAATAACGTTTACGAGGGTGATTGGTTAACGAAACACAGCCACTACAACATAACCTGTTCCTTTAAAAGCACTTAAATTTATCAATAGTATATATTGATAAAGTTCATTTCATATTTGAAGGTGAATACCTTTGCCAAACTTATGGGATTGGTATGCATAGTTCGTTAAGATCATTATGATATGTTTATGGCTCATGCTAAAAGTCTAGCTGAAAACCCTAATCAAAAACGTGTCATTCTATAGGAGATTTGTGGATAACATCGGCGAAAAATTTAAACACTCTTGATGTGGTCGAAAACAGTTTGCCTTCAATGTAAACAGACCCTAGTAATATTAGTGATAAATTTCATATTGTTTTTCACATTACTTTCATTATTATCATTGTTTCTTCTTATATTCCATTTTTCTAGTTGACCTTTTATTTTTATATATAAATGTTCTTAACAAGTATATTTGTGATCAGATTGTTTGAAAAGTATTGTGTTAATATAACACATAGTTTTAATGATCTTCGTCTTCTTACTGCACTATTCAGATCTACTTCTAGGACATCTAGATCACTGAACCTAAAAGTGTCTGAAACCCAGGACACATATTTTATCTACGGTTAAAGTTAGAGGCAGTAAGGAGTCATAACTCCACATGGGATCAAAACCCTAATCTCCATGTCACTGGTTAATTATGAGATAATCAAACTCTTATGGTACAGCTGTTGGTCCAACCAATCGACAGGTAATTTTTCCAAGTTGAAACAAACAGTGTTTTGTTTTTAGACATTTTCCAGAGGATTTCAATCCATGGTGAGTACTTTCTTCGGAATAAAGAATCTCTACGGAAGCCTTAATTAAATAACATCTCTTTGGACCGCTCAGTTGTGTAGCCCTAGTTTTTGTTTTCGTTTTGCTTTCTGTTTCTGTCTGGAATGGATAAAAAGGGCATAAAGCACAGTGAATAACTTCATATTCATATAAATCTTAGCATTGTATCATTATTATTTTTACTTGATGTACAAATAACAATCTAAGTTAGATCACCACTAAAAATGTAATAGAACTGTATGCTCGTTTCATCATAGTAAGGGACTCTTAACAGTGAGCATTCATGACTTCCAATCGAACCCAAGTCTCCCGGTGTCACTTAATCTGTAGAAAAACGAGCTTATGTTAATCGATTTCACTGTCTAATTTCAACCAATCCACGATATTGCGGGTCGTCTTCCATTATTTAACGGTAGGTAGTTTATCATCTGTAAAAGTGAGTTCACTGAATAACTAGTCTTCTTGATCTTCATATATACATATACATAAATGCATTTTTAGGGTCTAAGATAACTTACAAATGTTTGCAGATCAAAAAATTTGGTGTATTAGAACAACTTTCTGAACGTTCTTGTAAATATTTTCTTTAATTTTTGGTATTCCATATTATGTATATTAAATTTGTATAAGTCAAGCAGGAAAACTGCTGACGACTGATTTGCTTATTGTGAATACATAAAAAAGGAGGATAAAGTGAATTTTCATCAAATCTTCCGAAAATTAGAAACTATATTTGTTACATAAGCAAGAGCATTCCAACACGACCAATGCATTTTTTTGTTTATAAAATTTGCTTACTTATTTAAAAATTCAGTAGACTCATCATAATATTTAATTTTTCTGTGCTTTCTTACAAGGGTTGCGGTGAAATACTAACATATAATCCAATATTTGATACTACAAGTATTTCTGAGAGATTTTATATACTGGTATACTTTGTCGCCCATGTAAGTTAATAGTCAATGGAAAAAAATGTTTTTAACATAACTTTTATTTTATTTCTGAATTTAGGTCTAACCATATTCTACCTGCGATTTACATTAGTCCACTATCATGAATTCATATCTAAACATTAATTTAATTATAATGAATAACTGGATAATGCACCTTGATGGGAAAAATGTTCTAATTTGAAGTATTCTATCAAAATTTTCTTTAAAATGAAGTTAATGTTTTCTTTACATACCGAAAAGCAAAGAAATTCTCCATAGTCTTGTAGTTTTCAAGACAGAAATCAATTTACTTACTCAATTACTTACACTGTTAATCCTAATGGAGCATAGGCTGCCGACCAGCACTCTCCAACCCACTCTGTCCTGGGCCTTATTTTCTAATTCCATCCAATTTTTGTTCATTTTTCTCATGTCTATCTCCATTTCCCGGCGTAATGTGTTCTTTGGTCTTCCTCTTTTACGTTGGCCTTGAGGATTCCAGGTAGAGGCTTGCCTTGTGATACAGTCAGATAATTTCGTCAATGTGTGTCCTATACACTTCCAGCGCTTCATCCTGATTTCTTCCTCCGCTGGGATCTGATTTGTTCTCTCCCACAGTAGGTTGTTGCTAATAGTGTCTGGTCAACGGACCTGAAGTATTTTGCGTAGACAACTGTTAATAAACATCTGTATCTTCTGGATGATGGTTTTCGCGGTTCTCCAGGTTTCTGCCCGATACAGTAGAACTATCTTGACATTCGTATTGAAAATCCCGGTCGTGGTGTTGGTTGTTAAAGAGTTGTTTTGGGTTCCAGATTTCCTTCAGTTGTAAATATGTTGCTCTTGCTTTGCCGATCCGCGCTTTCACATCTACATCAGATCCTCCGAGTTAATCAAGGATGCTCTTCAAATATGTAAAGGTTTTTACATCTTCCAAATCTTCTCCGCCAATCGCGATTGGATTGTTGCATGCTGTGTTGTGTCGGCGAATCTTGCTTTTCCCTTTGTGTATATTGAGAGCTACTGCTGCCGAAGCTGCTGCTATACTGGTCTTCTTCTCCTGCATTTGTTGTTGCGTTTGGGATAGAAGGGCCAGATCATCTGCGAAGTCTAGATTGTCCAACTGCATCCTAGCTGTCCACTGTATTCCATGCTTCCCCCCAGATGTTGCCGTCTTCATGATCCAGTCGATCACCAGGAGAAGGAGAAAAGGTGATAGTAAGCATCCTTGACTGACACCGGTCTTTATTTCGAACGACTTTGTCAACTGTCCTCCATGCACGATTTTGCAGTTTAATCCATCATATGAATTCTGTATGATATTGGCTATCTTCTGAGGCACGCCGGAGTGTCGAAGAAGCTTCCATAGTGATATCCTTTCCACGCTATCAAATGCTTTTTCGTAGTCAATGATGTTGATGTAGCGTGATGAATTCCATTCATTTGATTGTTCCACAATGATCCGTAGAGTTGCGATTCGATCTGTACACGATCTATCCTTACGGAATCCTGCCTGTTGGTCACGAAGTTGGGCGTCTAAAGAGTCCTTCATTCTGCTTATCAACATCCTGTTGAAGAATTTTCCTGGTATTGACAGAAGAGTGATGCCCCTGTAGTTATCACACTTGTTGAGATCGCCTTTCCCTGGTATTTTTCCCAGAAGTCCCTCTTTCCAGTCTATTGGTACTTGTTTTTCATCCCAAATCTTGCTAGAGAGAATGTGGAGTATCCTTGCAGTTGCCGCTACGTCTGCTTTTATTGCCTCTGCTGGAATGTTGTCTAGTCCTGCTGCTTTGTAACTCTTGATTTGTCTGTTGGCCATGGTCATCTCTTCAATTGTTGGTGGGCCAGCATCGATTGGGAAGTCCATGGGTGCTGCTTCGATGTTGGGTGGGTTCAATGGGGCTGGTCGATTCAAGAATTCTTTGAAGTGTTCTACCCACCTGTTTCGTTGTTCCTCAATGTTGGTGATTACCCTGCCTTCCTTGCTTTTCACTAATCGTTCTGGTTTACGGTGATTTCCAGAGAGTTTCTTTGTCATGTCATACAGTTTTCTCATGTCTCCTTCTCTTGCAGCCTTTTCCTCTGTCATTGCTAAATATTCCACATATTTACGTTTGTCAGTTCTGATGCTCCTCTTCACTTGTTTGTTTACTACTGTGTATTCAGCTTGTGCCTTGGCTCTTGTTCGACTGGTATTGATCGCTGCTTTCTTGTTCCTTCTTTCTTGAATCTTATCCAGTGTATCAACAGTGATCCATTCCTTGTGATAATGCTTCTTGTGGCCTCTTTGATCCCCTTCCAGTTGCTCTCCACAGTAGTTCCTTCTCCACTGAGTAGATCATGAAAAGCCTGAAACTTATTGCTGAGGACTATCTTGAATTTGTTGAGTTTGTCAGTATCCCGAAGAAAAGCCCCTACTGAACTTTTGTAATATTGTCCGCCCCGTTGTGCAGTGCTTGGTGATCACCAAGTGATGGTCTGATGCTATATCAGCTCCTCTCTTGGTTCTCACGTCTTCCATCGTCCTCCTGAACTTTTTGTTGATGCAGATATGGTCGATTTGGTTTTGTGTAGTGTGATCCGGTGAAGTCCATGTGGTTTTGTGTATACGTTTATGTGGGGATATGGTGCCGCCTATGACCAGTTTATTGAAGGCACATAGGTTCGCAAATCTCTCACCATTTTCGTTCCTTTCTCCCAGTCCGTGTCGTCCCATGATGTCTTCATATCCAGTGTTATCCGTTCCAACCTTGGCATTAAAATCTCCCATCAGAATGGTCAGGTTCTTTGTTTGGCACTTCTCGACGATTGACTGCAGCCTATGGTAGAATTGATCTTTAGCGTCTTTATTTTAATCGTTGGTAGGCGCATAGCATTGGATGATATTCATTGTAATGCCCTCCTTTTTTGTTTTGAAGGAGGCTTTGATGATCCTTGGTCCATGAGATTCCCATCCTATAAGTGCATTTTGTGCTCGTTTGGACAGCATCAGTGCACCTCCTTGTGTATGTGGAGCATTTTCTTCTTCATGGCCGGAGTATAACAGAATCTCTCCTGAAGTTAATCGTTGTTGTCCAACTTGTATCCAACGTGTTTCAATGATCCCAAGCACCTCTAGGTTGTATCTCCTCATTTCTGCAGCAAGGTGGAAGACTCTCCCAGTCTCCCACATTGTAAGAGCATTCCATGTACCTAAATAAATTGTTGCTCTGGTTGTCAGAAGGGGCATCGGCCTCATGACTTCCGAAGGAACTCAGCCTTCATCATGAGGCGTCATAACTCTCCTAAATGAAGACCTTCTAACTCCCAGGGCAGAGTTTAAAATGTTTGAATAATTTTTTCTGGTTAGGGTTGTTTTAGCGAGTTAGTTTTCTACGGGATGGGGTCGCTAACCCCATGCCCAACCCTTCTCCTTTATCCAGGCTTGAGACCGGCAGTAGCCCCCGGAGGGACTCCAGGAGGAGTTAGAAATCAATTTATTTTGTTCTATATTGGTGTTTCCATCAGTTTATTGTGAACATGAATAGACAAAAATAAAGTGTTTTATGTTCAATCTAAAAATGGAGTCTCATTTATGTTTAAGACTGAAATTGATCAGTCTCTCCTTGACATATGTGAATACTGTGTGTATTGCCTTGATATTGCTTTAATTCACAAGCATTACAGTGGCTAGCAGTGGAATCTAGAACAGGCATTATGTCCTATTTGGAAGTTACCAGCTTTGCTTAGAATGCGCGATGGCGTTTGAAGTTAACGTTGCTGGGTTCGAGTCCCAGAGTGAACATCAACTTTGGGACGCAGGTACGTCCAGCTGACCAATCTCAAATAGGACGAAACGCATGTCCTGAATTCCACTATTAACCACTATCTATCTTTGTTTAGAATGTATCAAAAAGAGCTTATTTATTTAGCTACTTTTATTAGAACAAAATTTTGACCTGTACTAGTATTGATTTAAATTTCTAGATGAAGATTTGTTTAAACCAATAAATCAGTTGGTCATATAAGACTCTGAAAATAATTATTATTATAGAATTCTCACTAGTTTACAAGTATGATCAGCTTGATATAAAAAGTAACATTAGATGTAGAGAACAAATAAGTGATATAAGATAGTTTTAAGTATACTAGTTCAGTAATTGTCTAGGTAGTACATGGCCACATTACAACATGATCGATAGAATTCGATCTGCACTAATAAGGACTTAGACAAGCATGACATTGATCACCACCCAGTGATCAATCAATTGGGAGGTAGTACATGTATTACAGAAATCCAATGCATCAACTAAGAACTTTTAATTTTTCTTAAGTGGACATCCTGATGATTTATGAACGGTGTATTCAAGGTTGTTTCCTGTGACATAACGAATTAATGATAATTATTTACAACTAGGAAAGGGAGAATGGAAACAGAGAGCACGGACCAACAAAGCAATAATTACTAAGATATGTCAATCAGGTCTACCATAATGCATGTATTATGTTAGTCGGTGATATATTGTTCATGTTAGATATTATTCAAATTAGTTAGGGTTGCCAGGGACAATGTTAACGTAGTGACAGCAGGTAGGTGGTTTTACTTAGTGAATTCAGTAATAAGAATGGCTAAACATTTAAAGTTCCTAGAATCACACTTGTGAAATAAGATACATTTACAGGTGCAAGAACACTTAATGATTATCAGAGGAGCAGCATGCATCAAAGAAGAGAAAAACGACGGGAATGATTATATCTTACGGATAGATTGTGGTAGATTATTCCAGAGTCTAGAAAAATTACCGGTAAAGTAATTCATATAGAAAGATGATTTAGAATGGATTTGTTTCAATAATGACAAAGAGTTACGGGTGTTGTAATGAGAAGTTTCTGTATATTGAATTACTTGATTGGATGTAAAGGATAGTTTATCAAGTATTTTGAAGAAAAAGATATGATTTAGTTTGAGTCTCCTCTTTCATAAAAGGTCGAGTCCAAGTTTATTACACCTGAAATTATAATTCAAGGTACAATAAGTTCCAAGAATCCGAAGTGTAAATCGTCTCTGCATTAATTCCAACCTATTCATAAGTTAACTATTGGTTGTAATAAATCAGTCATTGAAAATGAAAATTCAAACAAAGCAATAACTATAACATCTTATTCTCTCACTTCCGTTACATAACAACCCATAAATTTAGTTATTTTTAATTTCAATAGTTGAGATCATGAGTCAATTAAATCTAGACCACCATAGAAAACCTGGATCCTGGGTTCGAATCCCACGAGGCGAGGTCGTGCATGCGCACTGCTGATGAGTTCATCAATAGGGCGAACACAGCCATCCAGTGCTTCCAGACTTTCCATGGTGACCTAGCTTCAATTGACTCATGATCTCAACTATTGGAATTACTACAATCTCCACAAAACCTCTTATGATATTATTTTTAATTATTAAAAAAATGGTAAATGTGAACATTGTATAATTTACTTGAAATATTCATCCTTTCAATAAACATCATTCATCAATCACAAACCATAAATCTGTACGTATAATATTCACGTCTACATTTACCAATATATTTATGATTGAATGTTTAGTACTAAGGTGTCTACTATTTGGGCTGACAGATATAAGTAGTATGTTGCAGCAATCACCAGTGGAATAACTGCTAGTAGGATATTGAAATGATAAGAATAAGAAGGAAATCAGAACGTATTGAAAATGACAACAGAATTAAAGGAATAATGGAATATGTAAAGGACAACTCAAAGAAGTTGTGTAAATGATCTACATAATGTAGAATTTTCATAATTTACTAAGCTACTGTGTGATTTGGCACCAAACAATAAGTTGGTTTCCCTCTCATAAATTTTCGTTCAATATGGACAGACCTAGAAAATTCCTCAAATAAAGCTTAAAGAAGCTCTGGAAACTCTGGGAAACATCTTACTTAATTAGCATTCAAAAAACATTTTGGAAGTGAGAAGTCACGTGTCACATTTCTGATTGGATGATTACCTATCCTGATACTATGGTATATGAAATGCTATAAATACGCTAGATTTTCTGTACATAAACAAAACCTTTAGAGCAAAGCGTTCTTTCTATATTCCGCTCCTTTTCTCCCGCATTCAAATTACCGTGTAGATTTACTAACGCCTATTACTCCTCGTGAAGGAGCATAGGCCGCTCATCAGCATTCTCTACCTAACCCTGTCCTGGGCAATCCTTTCCAGCTGCTATTTATCCTTTACATATTTGCTTCCATTTCCTGACGTACTGCTTTCTTCAGACTTCCTCTTTTCCGTTTCCCTTCAGGATTCCAAGTTATGGCTTACTTCATAATGTAATTTGTTGATATGCATAATATATATCCTATCCACCTTCAACGTTTCCCCCCCCCTAATTTCCTCTTCATCTGGAAGCTAGTTTCTAGATTAGAAGACAGTTTAAGCAACTGAATCAAGTGTTTAATTAGAAGTTGTCTCAAATACTAATATATTGTTCAATGTTTTTTTTTCTATCATTAATTATTCATAAATCCCCCTTTTTCTTTTTAAAATTATTCTTCTACTAGATTATTACAATTAGTTTATACGTTGTCAAGACTACTTTATTAAAACAAAAAAGTGAAATATTATTCCTTTATCATGAAGGAAAACTTCAAACAACTAATGAAAATGAAACTTATTTAAACAATAATAATAAAACTTTGGATGATGATGATAATATAATCAATACTGTAAATGAACAATCCATTGCCACGAATACTGTTAGAGGATTCGGTTATAACTTTGTTAAACCTCATAAAAATGACAGTCATTTCTATTGATTAAATTGGCATAAATCAACATAGAAACATAAAAGAACAATAACAATATTCATTTATAATAAAATTGTATTAATTTTAATGGATCTTTTTTTTTCTTAATTAAAGATTGTTGAGCTTAAATAGTGATCAAGAATCGATCTATGTTAGATTATCATTGAAAACCTGATGTAGAGCAGTTACCCACAGAAGACAATAGAAGATGGATGTACTGTTTGTTGTATTAGTTGAAGTTAGATATTAACACTGTTGGATGTTGGCTCAGTAATATGGAGGTTAAGCGTTTGCATGAGAAACTGAATGTCCTGGGTTTGAATTCCATATGCGTAGTTGTTCATTGCTGAGGAGTCCCATAATAGGGCAAAACGACTGTCTAGTCCATCTAGGTTTTCAATGGTTGTCTAACATTGATTGATTCATGATTGCATTTAAAAGTATATAACACAAAGCCAAAAACAGAATTAAATGGAAAATATCGGACGTTATATTTGATAAATCTCTGAGACATAACCAGTGTTATATTTGTCTATTCCTAAATAATGATTAAACCATATTGATCGAGCTGCTCTTTGATTGAATTACACAGTGGTTATCAGTTACCATAATTTAGTGGGCACACTTTACTGAAAAGTTTCAACTAGTATCAAAGTTAGTTCCAAGGTTTTCTACCAAATATCGAAACATAGTCCACAGATTGTTGAGTTACTAATGAGTATACTGTAACCTGATCGTTAGTATTCGATCGTGACCAAAGAACTAAAATAAATATAACGTTGGTTTAAGTATATCAGCGCTACATGAGGTTGATGGTTGCCCAAATAGTTTAGTAATAGCATGTTATACTGTACCAATGAATGACATGGGTTTTATGTCCGTATAGAATATCAGTCCCTTCATCCCTTTTAGCTGACCTTGCCGACGATTGTTTAGTTAGTCAATCATCATGAACATAGAGCTAGACTTATATGCATGTTGATCCAAGTTAATACATCACATTAGCACAACGAAGCAAATTTTAAAAGGTGAATAGTAAATTAGTCAAAATAATGAAAAAGTATATAAGCTATTCAATAAATTCACATTTTAATAAAGAATAGTTAACATAATTAATTTAATAATGAACTATGTCACTAAGCAATATTTACGGATACAAATATCTGTTAATAATAATCTAAGTGAAGAGGGGTTCGAACATGTAACCTAATAGTTGAAACTTGAGTATTCTAATTGTTACATTGTCATGAACACATAAAAATAAAGGTTCAAATAGATGATTCGTTTTAAATGTGCATAGGTACTTAGATCATTTGTATGACAGTCACATATCAACAGATTTCCTATGAAAAAAAGCATCATTTATATCTATGAAAGATAAAAATAAATCCAGGCAACTATGTTAATAGGTGAAATGAAAATTGAGAAACTTAGAACTGAAGTTATTACAATAGTGATTGTTTGACAATATCTAACTTTTAGCCAATCTCCTTGTATGTCAGTTACATTTTGATTTTAGACTAAAAAAAAGATGGATATACGCGATATATATATCTACTAGACGAGAATCAACCTATTCAACTGAAAAATTAGAGGCTAAGCGTTCGCACGGAAGATCGAAAGTCCTAGATTCAAATTCTATGTACAGAATCGTGAATATACATTGCTGAGTTATCTCATACTAGGACTCAAGCCGTTTTTATTTTATCTCTGATGCTGTGTTTATATTGAATAAACCTTATTCTTTTTACTTCATATATGTCAGTTATACCTGTACTTACCAGCTATTTCTATTTATCTGATCCTTCGTGATTGACAATGTTCTATAAGCAAAGGTCACTAAATGCCGCCATTTCTTCAAGTAGTTTATCTCCCACTAGTTTACCTATGCATCTTCATTTCCAAACTATGATGATTGTTTTAATCCTTAACTGGGTCTATTCACAGATTTATCAACTCGTCTCTATTTTCATTTCTTAGTCAGTTTCATATACTTGAGAGCTATCCTACACGATGAATAGCTAACGTTTCGACCATAGATTTTATGAGAGGAGAGTTCTTCCATGTAATAAGCAATGCGTATTGAATTATTAGGGATTATGTGCCTGAACCGACCGACCGTTGTTGCTACCTTGACGTGGTGGTCGGACTTGTCTATCGTGATGAAGCAACCGAGCTATACTGGCTGGAACAACCGTTCCTCTAGGTCCTACTATGTCAGACAGGTCAGTTGAAGAACAGTAAGACTAAAAGCAACAAACCTAAGGCCCGAAGGCGAAGTCGTACTGCTGACTGTGCAGAGGTGTGACAGCAGTAAGGTGTTTCCTTTAGACAACCAGCGTGACAGCGATGCTGTCTTCCCACAAGGAGCGGTGGGGTTAGAAAAGGTCGGCCCTAAAAATGCACACCTCGCCTTATCCCACGGATATCCATCTCCGGCGGTAAGGTCTCAACCTGTACGTAGCTAACACGAAAATTACTCACAAAAAGGTCGTGTGTGACCGACGTCAAGCAGTTGTCCTTTGGGCAATGCGGTCAAACTCTCAGGTCACTAAGACCACCTCTAATCCAATTTCCTTTTCAGGTACCTCCAGAAGAACCCTTCCATGGTATGGCAACCGGGAAGTGATAACCGCCCTCATGCATTCAACAGCACTCAAGACCACTGTATTCATAATCAACCTCCCCCATACTAGAACAAAATAGCCATCTAATACTTTCAGCTTTGAAATGATGATCTAATATCTATCAATTTATGGTCTCAATCACAAACTTACCAATCTTCACAACTTCATACTGATAATAAAAAATTAATAAAAATAATAATAAAACAAAAGTTAAGACAGTTGAAGTTAACAATAGTCCGTATTAACTAATGTTATAATTTAATAGTTAAGATTAAACAATTAAAACTTATTCTTTTGAAAATAAACAACAGAATATTATGTGCCTTAGCTACTATTTATTGATATCATCTTAGAATATATGAGTAAAAGAAGAAAAAAAGACAAAGAAAACAGTACATTAATCGATATTTTTTATTTGGTCATTACACATTTTTATTACCTAACAAAACTTTTTATGATCAATCGATCGATAATGAGTTCAATTTGAAACTTACATGGTGATTAGAAGAGAGAAAAAAAGAAATCTATAAAAGAATTTATTAAACTATTTACATGAACACAGAGTTTCAAGTTTTCTGGTTAGCGCTTTTTTTATAGCGAGTTAGTTTTCTATGGAATGGGGTCGCTAACCTCATGCCCAACCCTCCTCCTTTATCCGGGCTTGGGACTGGCAGTAACCCCCGGAGGGATTCCAGGCGAAGTATATACACAAATGATATGTCCCAGATACAATAAAACGTTCATCATAGATTAGATTAATAATCATGGAATAAATATACTAAAATCTGTAACTTAAGACTTTATCAAGGATAATCTATATGGGATATCCACATAGCAACAGGGATTGATTGATTGCATTATTGAGTATCAACAATTGCAAATTATAAACCTTCCTATCTATAATTTATTACTGGTTAATCATAATCATTTGGTAAGTGAATGTTTAAAGTAGTTAGTCCCTTTGATAAATTTGGATAATGTAATAAAATGATAAAGAGTATTAGAACTATGTGATATATTAACGCAATACATTACAAACAATTTGATCATATATATACATGTTAAGAAGATTTATATATAAAAATAAAAGGTCAACTAGTCTAAAAATGGAGGATAAGGATATTGCACTAATGTATCACATAGTTCTGATAATTTCCATCTTATTAAACTATCCTGTCATGTCTTATGGTTCGTCAAATATTATGTGACAAAATTGCCAATCAAAATGCCGACTTCTATAACCTTGCCCCTGTGCTTAACCAACAATACGTCAAAACAGCACTAGTAGCTCTGAATCAACATTTATTCCTTGTTGGTCCCTTGTACAGAAACTTCTCGCCTAGTCTATTCTATCCAGCCCAAAACACAAATATCAACCTCCGCTATATGAATTATGTATTCCAGGTATATGTGGTTTATATACAAGTGGATCAGACCGTATCATACCATAAAATGAAAAATAACAATCACATAAGATCAAGCTAAAAGTAGCTGTGGGATACTGTAACAAATAAATTAGGAATAAGTTAAAAATGGCAAATTATATAACAGTAGCAAATAAGTTAAATGAAAGCTAATGATAAAAGGTAATATGAATATTTATGTATAATCTAGTTACTTAATTATTATGTATTAATAGACCATAACAACTCATAGCAGTTACCATTCATTTATTCTTCGTTCAGCTACAACAAATCCAAATAAATATTTTTCCTGAAACTTTTCACCAAAGTGTCGTGACTATATAAATTAGAGTAAAACTTATGAAATCAACTTACAGAAGGAAATTAGTTTACTTACAATAAGTACGTTTCATATGCACGTATAAGCAAAGATGGATAGTGGCTAGCAGTGGAATCCATGACGCGCGTTTCGTCCTGTTTGGGACTCGTCAGCTGGATGTACCTGCATCTCAGAGTTGATGTTCACTCTAGGACTCGAACTCAGTACCGTTCGCTTCACACGCCATCGCGTTATCCACTTAGCTACTGAGTCCTGATAGCCACTTGCTTGTGCAATGGGGTGAAGTTTAATTCACTTGATATTGTTTTTACTTGAATCTTCCCATTGATGTTTTAGGACTGAAATTGATCAGCCTCTTATTGGCATATGTGCATACTGTGCGTATGTCCCAAACAGGACGAAACGCGCGTCCTGGATTCCACTGCTAGCCACTATCCATCTTTGCTTATGATGCTTGTAAATTAAGGCAATATCAAGGCATACGCACAGTATGCACATATGCCAATAAGAGACTGATCAATTTCAGTCCTATAACATCAATGGGAAGATTCAAGTAAAAACAATATCAAGTGAATTAATATGCACGTAGTCTATCTAGTAAACGCATGGACTAAAGTCATGAACGCTTTATTTTTTAATCTTACGGGTATGTTATATTCCTTTAAATTCACTTTTATGTTAGCATAATTATTTCATCTTCATTTAAAAATATTCTTGAGAGTCGATAGAGTAATATCCAGCTACTACATCTTTTCACGTGTTATCATTTACACAATGTTCTGTTTCAAACTCTGACGTGACCAATGGAGTCAAACCGTATCTGTTGTGAAGGAGTTACTCACTGAGGACAATGGAAGACAGGATTTCCTACTAACCATCTCCAACCATTTAACAATATGTATTACTGAATTTGTAATTCAGTTATCTTTGATAAATGAAGGATTAATGTTCATCGATAAATCATTATCTATTGAAAAGTGTTCAACAGAAACATGACAAAGATCTCGTTCAGTTATTAGTTTATCATAGAATGAGAAGCAGTGATCAGTGGAATTCAACCAGGTCTGTTGTGAGATAGTAACTCACTGAATACAATGATGAACGGTGGCTCAATTTCGTGGATTGGTTGAAGTTAGATATTAACACCGTTGGATGCTGGCTCAGTGGTTTAGAGGCTAAGCGCTCGTTCGCGAGGCCGATAGATCTTAGGTTCGAATCTCACGGGACAGGATCGTGGATGCGCACTGATGAGGAGTTCCACACTGAAATGAAACGGTCTTCCAGTGCTTCCAGGTTTTCCATGGTGATCTAACTTCAACTGACTCATGAACTCAACTATTAAATTACTATAATATCCACAAAACCCCTTTCTGAGAATCATATATTCAACTAACAACAATAGTGATATAGTACACATTTGTTATTAAATAGATCTTACAACTTAATTGAATACATAGAACTTAACAATAAAAAGCTTCCCACAAATCACTAAGTATAAAATATATATTGAGTGAAAAATATCTAAGGTCATAATTACGTCATTGCAATCATTTGTTTTTCTCCCCTTAAGAAAATAGAATTTCATACATTGTAACAACATGAGGGAAATATAAAACTATTGATAATGGTTTAACCGAATAGACCATTAAAATCAATGAAGATCAATAACATGAAAAAAGTAGACAAATGAAATTTAATGATTATTTACACGTTTAGGTTACTATGAGCTATATGCCACACCTAATAATATGAATGTTAGCGACGAGACTACAATTTATGGACAAACCAATCAGGTATAAGATAACAGGTCTCAGATTTTGGCGTGAAATCCATTCATACATTTGGGTAAATGGAGTTTTGGTATTAAAGCTAATGTCAGTTTGTGATGAAAACGTTAAATCTAATTCTTAACCCTAACCATCAACTGCAAATCATAATTCTATTTCCTCACACTGGTTTATAATCCTCATTTAGTCCTGATTATTAGGTGGACACTCTCAACGTAACTTCAGCGTCGCTCAAAGGTCGTCCAAAAATTATAGTCTCACCAAGTTAGCCATCATTTGTATCGACAGTGTGGTATGATATTAGCAATTCAATTTATGAATAGAATTTTTAAAAATTTCAAATCACTGGACTACGGATCTTGATTGGTTACATGTCAAAACAGATGACTTATAAACAAAATGTACACTTTCCTAGTCAATGAAACATTCATACATTCTATTATAACAGAATGGATATTGTAGAAGTTGGAACTGATCTTTCGAATTATTCTTAATTACAATTTTATTTTATAATTACTGAGTAACTAGATTACTACGTATATACATCCTATTATTCATAAACTTTCGACTAACCCATTGACTTCTATCATGCAACTTACTATTCTTAATTTGTTACCAGTCAGCTATTTACAGCTTTCCCTACTAAGAACTACTTTTGGATTGTTCATGCATAATTGGTATTCTTTATTTTATGCTGTGATGCGGTCTTGTATTTCTACATATGAACCACGTCTGTTTGGAATATAAACGTAGTAGACTGGTTGCAACTTCTGAATTCAGAAGCTGGGCACAGAAGGGAGCCAGCTTATAGTGGATCAGTAGGAACCTAGATGCCATTTCAAGGTCAATAGTGCTGCTCAGGCATGTAAGTGGCCAAATCAGAGACGCTAGACTATAGTGTGAATGGCAGACCAAATTAGAAATGATGACTGGGCACGTGATATTGGTCTATGGGTTTTCACGACATAACACATTCATAGGCTACATTCATATTACTGATTTAGTGACTACGTAATAAGTTATGCATTAGAAGAATAAATGATTTTGATACATATTTACAACCTATATTCAACGTATTTGATTCTCGGATCACATAAATGCATTTCCAGAGAAAGTGCAACGCTGTTGTAGGCAGTATAACGTTGACAATCGTCTGGATCAGTGTTATCAGTTAGGACAGTGACAACAGGCAATTCAAAGTTTATGATTAGATTTCATGTGCATTAAGGCAACTAACTAATCTCTCAATACAGCTAATAAACATCCAACCACTTCATCCTATTTATTTTGACTGATAATTTAATAAAAGCATTTCGATGTTGAGCCTCTTAACAATGAACGTTACTGTCCAGCTTATAAAACAACTTATTGCAAAATTTGAAAATATGGCAGAATTTTCAACAAAACAGTCAATAATTCGGAAAACTTTTGAATGGGCTCGCAATATGCGTAGAACTAGAGAAAATCGGTCTTTCACCCAATTCAGATATATCACAAGAGACAACCGTTCTATGCATCTCTTTATGCTGTTCATTTTTCCAAACATTACTAAGACTGTTGAGATAAAAAACAGATCAACTCTAACATTCTCTCTCACGAAACCATTTTACTTAAAAGGATTTCTGAGCCGATGGATAAAACTAACATTCAGCAAATAGTTGGGACTTTATATCCATAATATTCTAGTTTCATGTTTTGAAATGGCCTCTGATTGTTACTGACATAGTCATAAAAAAGTAATTTATTGTAAATAAAGTTTACGTTTTAAGAACCCTTTTATTTGTTGGGTGGTCGAAAGTAATTGGAGAGGAAAAGCTGAACCTAGGTCTCCTGAAAACTGACACTTGTCGGTAAAGAATACATTCAGTCCTGAGAGAACTGATGCTCCCCGTAGAACTCGAACTCACGTAATCTAGCTTTACAGATTAGGAAATTATTACCAGGCTATTTGGGCCGCGATTGATTTCATGTAGATCTGAGATATTGAAAATTGATCCATCGCTGAGTAGTGACCAATGTCGCGTTTGTCCAGTACTTGGTACTGACCGAGTTCTATCGATTAAGTTAAAATGTACCCGCTACTGTAAGCGACTTGCCAATGTACACTCTATTGAGATATTAGTTGGTTGGAGGTGGACGGCAAGAAAGACTAAATATAATTTAGATTACTTCGAAATATTTACACAATGAATAAAACACTGAGTCCAACATAATTTACTAACTGTGAAAATAATCGACCCATGTTTGTAAATAACCCATCAGCCAAATAGTGAACGTTATCGATACACGTCCGTAAAAATATACATACCGGGAAAAGTCGTAGCTTTTTGTCTGAATGTTCGCAGAGACCGAAGATTGTGAGTTCGATCTCCGGTGGCGGAGCTGTGACTGCGTATTGCCAAGTCCTGTACTAGGACGAAACAGCTGCCCAGTGCTACCTGATTTTCAAAGGATATCTAACATAGGTCGGTTAGTGACATTAATAAAGGAAAATTTATCGGTTGACTGTAAAATAATTTACAGGAATTTCTGTAATAAAAGTGTTCTCCTTATCATCCAATCACTAGTTAGACGTGTATTTTCATAACCGCGACTTTTGCGTTACGACTCGAACTCATATTTCTGCATAAAAAGATGATTTGAAAAACCTATACCATTAGCCTTGACAGGTAGTTTCAAACTGAATCTTAAATGAAATAAAAAGTCAGAAAACTGTAAAATAGGCATTTATGATGTTCAATATATTTGGAAGAGGAGAGCAAACAAAAGCAAAAAAAGAAGTGTTAACAAAATTTGACAAGTAAAGAAATAAGTTAAAAAAAAGTTTTTGAAATAATCAAGTATGTTATGAAGCAAGTTATAGAAAAATGAAGTGCATTATTGTTGGGTACTTAGACACATATTAACCGGTTACTAAGATGGCGTTTATATATATATATATATATATATATATATATATATATATATATATATATATATATATATATATATATATATATATATATAGGTTGAAAGCGTTTTACATTTCCAAGGAAAAATGAAGCGAAGCGAACACTTTCTTATATATAAATACATAAAATAATACAAACACACAAAATACTCCATGTCACTTATATTCTTATGAAACCATAAACATTGAAGTCAATAATACGGGATAGAAAAACACATATAGATAAGAGAAGGAAAGCAAAGTTGACAGTTCAAGAAGAAAATTAACTGAATAGAACCAGTAATGAATGAATTTACCTGGGCACTTGAGGTTTGAACATGTTTTCAACAAATTTACCACTAAGACAAATGAACCAGTATTGTAACGAAAAAAAAGAAAGAAAACAAACGAAATATTGCTAAACAAGATATTAATCGAAAATTACAACACACCCTTTTTTCTCAGACTGGAAGAATAAGTTGGCGACCTTTGAGTACTATGAAATAGAAAAACAATGTAAAAAAAAACAGTTATGTTTTAATTAAAGGTATCAATACATAAGAATTAACAAATAACTGTACACACACAATTATTAACTTTTAATTTAATATTAAATGTATAGGTTTAAATGATGACCAAAATATCTCATCAGATACTCAATTTATAACACAACAACAATCATGACTTTAAAAACAAATAAGTGTTTTCTTTTCACATTGATTATTATTACTTGTGACAGATCAATTTATTTTTCTGTTAGTTAAAGTACACATCTTTTTAAATAGAAGTTCATGCTAAAATGTATGTCATTCAACCTTTATTGATTATAGGGTCTCCGTATAATCCATACTCCTTGCAATCAATTTAGTCAATCAGTCATAAACAACGTAGAACATAGAATACATGCACATCAATTCAAGTCGCAACATTATATCAACAAAGTGAGATGAAACTACCAGGACAAATGACAGAAGAGTAGAAGTAGTAACAGTATCAGAGATATTAATTTAGATATAACTGAAAGTTTTTAATATAGGTATACATTTAAAATATATGTTAGTTCTAATACAAACCTATATTAGGAATCAGGTATGGCTGGATACAAAGTATGAAAAATACAGCGCGTATGAGATAATAGCGTAGTCTACTCACAGTCTATCGCATGAAGTGAAAAGATATGAGTATGAGTACAGTTCAGTTTTTAAAGACAATCAAATTATTGTTAGTGCAAGTCATTAACTAAATGCAAATTGTTATACTGGACTTTAATCAACATCTGATTGATAATAGAAATATTTGGAACTATGTACTGTGTAAAGGTTGGTGCATGTAGGATTTTTAGTCACACATTTTATTTTACGATTGACGATGCTATCCAGCTGTATAAATGAAAATAGGTGAAGTAAAACTTGAAGTTAACACTAGGTAGTTAAAGGAAAAATGCTTATGTTAATAAGCAACACTACCTAAACTAAACACAATTTGGTTTAAACCTGCAATCCAATAACTGAAAACAGACTACTTGAATCCTAATTTATAGTAACTTGGGTTATCTCGCTGGTGAATATTTTGACTGAAATTTGATCAATCTTAGCATACGTGCATCTTGTGAGGATTGCCTCAAGATACCAATTGTCCTAAGTCCATACAAAATAGATGGAGTGACTAGCTGTGAATATGGGGACATCCATGTGATGAATCCTAAATACGACGAAACGCGGGTCGTGAATTCGCCTGGTAGCCACATTTCATCTGTTCTATATAAACTTGTATATTGAGGTGATACGCAACATATGCCAAAACTAATTACAAAATACTTAACAACGAGATAGTTTAAACCATTACAAATTGAATTGAAATTCAGACCCATTCCGCAAGTGAGCGGCTATGTGGACTCATTAGCTAAGAGATAACGCGTTAGTATTTGAAGCTAAAGGTACTGGGTTCGAATATTAAAGTGGATATCAACTCTGAGAGGCAGGTACATCTGGTTAAGAAGTCCCAAATAGGACAGTGCTCACCCTGGATTCCACCACCAGCCATATTCCATTTATTCTATATAGACCACTAAGTTGTTAAGTCATGGTTCCGAAAAACCGACAGACAATACAATGTAACTCAACAGTTCCACTAACATTCGTGTATCAAGCCACAATTCTAAGAGTAAAATATGAACCAAACCTCTTACCTCTAGTGACATAAAGGTAGAAGAAATCAATGTATAATAGTGTTTGGACACATCCAGCTACAATAGCTACCAAGTCATAAACATCTTCCACATAATATCGGTATATCCAATTGACCAAATACAAAGCACGATAAGATCCCAATGCGAATAAATAATGCGCAGTTATCGTTTCCGCTTCACCAGTACTACTGATCATAAATAATTGAGGCAAAATAGCAACTGATTCCAGATATATAGAAAATGTCCACAGTACCTATCAAGAACATAACATAAGCATTTGAATATGGATTACATTTCCAAACAGATGTTAAGTGCTATTAAACATATCATAAAATTTTCTATATGAAAAAGGTGAAATTTTCGCAGATTGTCGTTAACAACGAACAGATAGTTGGAAAAACGCGTATATTAAGTAGTAACCATCATTTTTCCACCCTATTTTAACATAGTAATCTTGTCGACCATGTTTTACGATGTCTTTAGAGCAAATAACCATTAAGTCGTCAAAAAATTCGGGTTTTAAATCATATTCACAGAGAACTCATCATGTTTCAGATTTAGAACAGTAAGGAGCCACTGTTAATCACTCAATAACTACTAGGTTAAGGTATTAAAAACTTATTTAACGGCCCTAATAAACCCCGACTCACATGGCAGAAATTTTACGTACACTAACAAACTTCCATTCGGGTAGCACATTTACGTCTGACGGTTCAACTAAAAGGATATCTAAAATTCTTGTTGGGAATCATCATTTCGATATAATGAAGTACTAATTAGGAGATATAGGGTGGGGATAATTTCAGATTAGTCTTACACGAATGTAGCCCCAAATATTCCCACATTATAACCGTAGACTGACGGACAGTTGAACTTCTCATTTGACTGGATATGAAAGTATCCTTCATTTTGACGCATTTCTGTGATCAGACCAAACAACATCCATGAGGAAACCAGTTTTCAAAAATGTTGATGAGAAATATTTTACTTCTGTTAACCTTTATAAACGGTAACCAAGATGACCATGATATCACGGACAATTTGAAAAATGAATGCATTTATGGAAAGATAACAATCTACAAGAACAATAGAAAGAGTTAATGGATGGAAATTTGTCTTGTCTGATTTTAGCAATGCACCAAACATACTAAGTTGCAGGAATAAAAGTCGGAGTAAGGGATAGTACAAATGCAGTCTGTTTACTTGCACTTGACCTGGTTTAGAATGAGACAAGTGTGAACTTTCAAGCAATAAAAAACCGCCAGAATAATGTGACACATATTGTGTGTTTGATAATATTAGTACTGTACCATCACATTGAGAATGAAGCATAGAGAATTTGTATGTAACAGATTCTCCTGTGTTAACCCTTCGAAGTATAGAACAGGCGATATTGCTAAATATACAAAGTATACTTTAAAACTGATTTTTTTACTGCAAACAGTATAAACCTACACATCGTAAAATAATTATATTAACAATCGGCGTAATTAATGAATAATTCATTTGAAAGATGGTGTGACTGACTTGAGGACACCTTCATTAGACTAATTTAATACGTACTTACCTCCAAAAACTCAAACTTGTGATTGACAAGGCATGCGAGGCCTCCAATGGGGATCACAAAGTAGGGAAGACGAAATAGATGATCATTTGTGTCTAAAGTTGCCTTGAACTTAACATAAATGAAGTAAACCGTTAAGTAAGACAACGCAATAAATGTAATCTTCATTATAGTGTTGTATGCAGATATGTAGTATACGAACAAGTCAACATATCGGGCAGTAAACACCAACGCAAACATAATTTGAGTTTTTCCTGAGAGGCCTACAAAAACTGAAAGCAGTCAATAGATAAATTACCCTTGCACGAACGAGAAGAATAAATCTTTAATAACAATATTAGGAGTGCGGCAAGGTGGGAAATATCCCCTAACAGTCTAAAGATATTCATGTTGGTCGAGGGTTAGCCAATACAGTCAGCAACGAAGATTTGTATCCGGGCCACAAAATTGTTGCACTTTCACTGTTCAATCAATCTTTAAGTGAAAAAGTAAAAAAAGACCGGAAGGCCTACACTAATCTTCCCCGTTTATAGCTCTGTGAGAAATCAGTCATTTTAAATGTACGTAAAAAAATTGATGGTGCAATGTTTTTCGATAGAGAATTATAGTGTTTGGCACCTCAGTGATTTAAATAAAAATCTATGTTGACACGTTTTTACCTTGGTCTCTAAACCTTTTAAGAAAATCCTCTTATATTAGCCGTCCTTGATCGAAAGGCAATATAAGACATACTAAGAGCCCTTTAGAATACGATTGGCTAGTGTTAGATCACCGTAACCTACAGCAAGACAACGAAAGCCGATTCGGGTCATTGACAGTCTTAGTCTCTCGCCTATTACCCTTTAACGGCCAACAAATCCATGGCATAGATAGTTTTGTAAGTCTCCAACACTGTTTCTGACTTCATCAGTTCCACTGGACACACCTTATCTGAAGGTGCTCGGTTACTCATCCATGCCAGATAACCATTAGGCATGTAGTGGTATACATCCTTTGTGAAACCTAATCAGCTTATATCACATACTTCTCAGCATATCAGCGACATCTCAACTATATCTATGAACTTCGTTCTTGACCCCTGTTTTGCTTGGCTTTAGGGTCCTCGGTTATAAAAGTGTTACAGTTGTAGCAGTAAATGAATCCTCAAAATCAATAGCTCTGTATGTCTTTGACATTTGATGCTACCGCATTGGTTTTGATGGGCTCACCTAACTGAAGGTGCTTGGTTACACACCCGCACCAGTTCATGAGTGAGTACGCCATGCTCCAAATACATGACCACTAGCCAGGTTAGATTAATCACTTCTCGATATATCGACAGCCTATCAAATGCATCTTCGGATTTCTTTGCATCTGACACCTGGTTCCACTGGGTTGGAATGTTTCAATTATAAAAGACATTACTACTCAAGGTGTTTTCAAGATCCAAATACCTGTAGCATCTTTATGATCAACAGCGTTGTCAAGCCTGGAATATTGGTGACACGTTGACGTCCATTCTAGCATATTAGCTTCACATTTACAACATTGATAGTTTGCCTGGAGTACGTTTTACGAGAGCCGTCCCATAAACTTTAGGTATTATATCTTGAATACATCGTCAGCCCAGTTATGAAATGTTTTCTCATTCACCAACAACAGCAGGAAACATGTACCTTTGATTGTCAGACGGTTAACTGTGATTCCGAAATTACGGTATATAATGATTCATAAGATTTTTCAATTGACAACCTTTGGTAAATTCATCCTATATATTGTTGAGTTGTATAAATCATCACAACGACAGATCCGCACCAATATAGACTTGTCAGATATAGCTTGTGAAGAGCTAATGTTTGCGCGGTCAGACTCCTTTTTCTGAACGGAGATCAGTGACATTTTCAGACATACCTCTCAATGATTATTCTCAGGATTTACATTGGAACGATTCTGGATATGTAACTCTTTAGATGCATCACCATTTTCAAATATCTTTCATAAATGTATCGACGTTTGTGTGGTATATTTTAGTTTTGTCATGCAGAAAAGTTATGAATCCACTTATTGAAAGGTTTAATTTAGAAATGTGAAACCCACTTGAAGAGTATAAAGTGACTTTTGTCAAGGGCCTAGTGAAGGCATCATAGCAATGAGGTTGCAGTGGCAACAATCCAATAGCTCAAAATTACTGACGTTGTAGTGAACAAAAACACGGGTGGGGACAAACGGATGTATTTAGCACGACAATTACAGTATATCTCAACAAAATATGAGTACCGTACAGTAAATCGTCAATTTGCAAAATATTCATGCATCAAACCAAACTGGACTGTTTCTGTTGCACACACCAATCCATTGTCTCCCATTCCATTGTCCATGCATTTTCTTACTAATTCCATTGTGTTCTCGCTCTACTTTTCTTGATCTTCGCCAAATTCCGCTGCCAGACATTACGTTCTTTTAACGCACGTTATATACTACTTATATCAATATAAGTAGCTCACACCACAACATTAGTTATATTAGGCTTCTATTAGGTTCTAGTTCCAGCTACAGTTCAAAATTCATAAATATATCTAAGTAAAAAATACGGACCACTGTGGGTTAATGATAATTACTGAACCACTTGCATATACCAAAAATCAGATACAATGATCCGAAATAATCGAACCTATCTGTCTAATAATCATATGTAGACCAGTACTGAAATTATAAAGATAACTAGGAGCACAATCGGAACTTTGAGTAAACGTGGTTAAGGCCCAATGTCACTACAAAGTCAATCACTCAAAGCTAGGAATAATGATCGTATGAGATTTAAAAAATTAACCACCTTATTAAGATCTGCATAACTGTCTTTTATAACTAGTGGTGAAATGGACAGTAGTTCTAGTCACTGACTTAATGTGTTCTTTCTCGTCACACTTTAAGCGCATGGAATGAAAGAATACACATGGATTCCGTAAACGGAGTTTATCATAAGATGAATATTTATCAAAATTGTCCTCAGTTGTGTATACTTAGTTACAAGTCTTGATTGAGTTGTTGCATGTTTTCACTCAAATGGGGATGATCATTGACTAAACGCTTATCTGTACGACTTTGAATATGGATTAGTTTACGACTGCTAGAATCTTGGAGTGAGCATTTTAGCATCTGTATCTGATCTTTTTTAAATTTGGTTGGTCGATTCCTTCGGTTGATTGATCAAACAGCTGAGCATGAGTTTGTAGCGTGGCGTCGAGTCGAGGTTCACTATGTACACCGCTACCAAGAAGCTCGTTCCAAATGACTCCATAAAAACCCCGAGAAGCCAAATATCAGAAGGCAGAAAATGGACCAAGTCAAGATTTATTCACTGGCGATCTCGTGGCATCGAAAGGATACCGAGATCATGCCAGGATACAAACTTGGTTACAGAAGGTAACCGAATTCGCGCGAAAATACAATCGAAGTGTAAGAACAAGAATGGAAGTCCAATATAGCTGTCATTAGCACAGTCAAACAAAAGCACATTAAAACAAACACTGGTACAACTGTTTATAATAATAATTGTTTTTATTTAATCAGTCGTGTTCTCGTAATAAACGTGAGTCACTACAAGTTTGATTACTTCATTTACGCTTGGTGGCTTCTTTTTACTTCTTTTTGATCGCATTATGTTTGCTGTTTACTGGATCTTTGCTCTTTCACGGATTTCAAAAATCGTGAACTTGATATGATTGATATTAGTTCTTTAAGGGTTTCATATAAGAGAAAAATCCATTTATCTAAGCCCACCAAATTTTTCATCATCCTTTTTTCATCCTTTTCAATAGATTCGAGGAAATGAGTCAAACTTCTGCTGCCTTTAACATCAAGTTTGATGTCTCATATTCATGTGTAAACCAGCAGTGAAGTTTTGAAAAATACTGAAATAGCTACTGAATGCATTGCATTTAGAGTTTATACCAAGTGCGGAGCTACATTCAGAAGAATTACTTTTGAACTCGAACACCAGACCCATATATCCTAAAAGCAAGGTCTAGTCCTAGTGTAAAATTGGTCAACATTAATTTGTGAGTTGATATTTGAAGGTACCTGGGTGAAAATGTGTGATGTTTGAATGAACATACTTGTTGATTGCTCGATTTCAAATTCCAAATACAATACATTCGTTCGTGCTTGTGTCTTACTTCTTAATTCAATTGCGTTATTTCTGGCACTCTTAGTTCGTACTATAATTAAAATATTATACTGGCGTCGCGATGGAGCTTTTGATGGAAAAGTTAGATATTCATTAAACTTCTGAAGCTTTTGAAGATTATTTCGAAAGGTTTGAAATTTGAGCTATAACCAAGGAAGATAATGTACAGTAATATAATATACCCTTGTGGGCCGGGGTAACTTTACATTGGTTTTCAGGAGAACCAGACACCATCCGGACTTTCACGTAAAAATCCAAACAGTACAGCTCAACCCCGTTTAGCAGGGGAACCAGACACCGTGCAGGCTTTAACGCTACAATCTGAATAGTACAGCTCAATCCTGTGGCGCAACCACACAGGTACCAAGAACCCTGGTGGACCAAAGGAAGATGATGAGGATGTTAATATTGTGGTACACTTCCTCACATTCATCGGAAAAGAAGCATACAGCTTATTAAGAACTCTGGCTGTGCTGAAAAAGCCCATTTCGCTTCCTTATACATCTCTCAAGGAACTGCTGTTAGGCTATGTTCAGTATACAAATGTCGAATGTCGTAAAGGGGGAAGATTTCGTAAAACGATTCATGAGAATATACGAAATTCAATTGCATTACGTCATCCCGACCCAATTCATACTCAAGATTATGCAGATAATTCATTGAGGAGTTGCAATGCATTTCATGAAGATGGGCACAAGTTTAATCAGTGTTTGTCCTGTGGCAAGTTCCACTATTTTAATTCATGTAAATTTCGTAATTCTAAGTGCTTTAAATGTGGTGATATTGGACATATTCAGTCAGTCTGTAATACTAATGTTCATCTTATTGCAACTAATATTAAGTCTTGTAATTCTGATTCTATTGAGTCGAGTATTCGCACTGATGATTTATCTTTATCAACGATTGCAACAGACGGTGTAGAGTCACAAAGCAGTTCACAGTTAAATGAAACTCAGAATTCTTGCGAAAGAACAGTTTCTAACCAATCGATTTATCAGATTTCTCATGTTATTGTACCAAATATGGTTTTTCCTAATGATTCATATATTTTTGATGAAAATTCTTACAAATCTGAAGAAATTATGTTTAGTGAACATAATTATGATCGAAAACCTGATGTAGTTTTGATAGATGCTAATTTTTCTAGTGATCATTTAATCTGCAATGACATTCTTAATGAATTCGAGGAAACTATTTCAGAAGAGTCTAGTCTTGATATCATAC